GGGTTCTCCATCCTCCAAAACGAACTTTTCAGACGAGTGTGCACGGCGCTACAGCGAGAACCGCATTTTGAAAGCGACCCGCCCTCCATCCGTTTGTTGCACACCTTCAGCTGCAGGAGGGGAAACCCACAGTCACAATTACTGGTCGACCCCCAGGAAAATATGGGAAAATGTGGGAAGTGGAGGGGAAATCGATGACCCAGAAAATATTGGAAAATATTGGGAATCCTGTTAGTTGTGTCAAGTCATTTGTGTGTCCCGGGGCCCCTTCAGAATGTGTTGAGGACGACTCAGACCAAACGCCCAGCCCGCCCTACCGACACGTCTCGGGGTGCGACGGGGAGGAGTTCTTTGTCCAGTTGCCTGCGGCAAGTCCCGCCACCGTGCCAGCCCAGCATTCTGAGTGTCGACTGTCTGAGGGGGCAAGGGAGGCCGTCACGTGTGACACTATTCAGCCCCGCGCAGAGGGGGGTGGGGGAGGGGGGAGCGCTTCTTAGAAGCATCCCTGCTTCTTAGAAGGCGCGGGCCTTATCTGTAGATGTAAGGCCGTTGCCTTCTAAGACGCAGCCTCTTTCTAAGAAGCCCTCCCCCCTCCCTCCACCCCCTCTGTGCGCGCCGCCAAACTACGTGTTTCCAGGCTTGGGGAGAGCCGTGATGAAGATGATTGTGATGATGGGGATAATGATCATGACGATGATGGAGGGTGATGATGGTAATAATGATGCTGCTCATGATGAAAACGATGCTGATGAGGATGATGATGATTATGATGATGCTGGTGAAGATGTTGGTGCTGGTGCTGATGATGATGATGACGATGGTGACGATGAGGAGCATGCTGCTGATGATGATGATGATGATGACGATGATGATGATGTCGACGACGATGACCATGATGATGATGTTGATGCTGATGATGATGATGATGCTGCTACTACTGATTATGCTGCTGACGAAGATGCTGATGATGATGATGATGATGACGATGACAAAGATGATGATGGTTATGAGGATGATTACGGTGTTGATACAGATGATGATGATGACGATGATAACGATGATGATGATGATGATGATGATGATGATGATGATGCTGATGATGATGATGCTGATGATGATGATGCGATGCTAATGAGGGTGATGATGATGCGGACGTGGATGAGGATGATGATGAGGATGTTGATGCTGCTCGTGATGATGACGCTGATGATGATGATGACGAGGATGATGATGATGATGATGATGATGATGATGATGATGGTGATGCTGATGGTGATGATGGCACTGAGGCTGCTACTGCTGACTATGCTGGTGACGACGATGATACTGATGATGTTGATGAAGATGTTGCTGAGGGTGGTGATGATGATGATCCTGATGAGCTGATGATGATGCTGGTGGTGGTTGTGATGACGATGCTGGTGATGGTGACGACGACGATCATGCTGCTGTTGAGGACGCTAATGCTGATGCCGTTGACGATGATAACGGCGACGATGATGATGCTGTTAATGATGATACTCATGCTGGCGATGAAGATGATGATGACGATGATGATGATGCTGATGCTGATGATGATGATGATGATGATGATGCTGATGCTGCTGGTGATGATGATGATGATGATGATGATGATGATGATGATGATGATGATGATGATGACGGCGGTGGTCATGACGGTGATGGTGACGATACGGATTACCATGACGATGACGCCGATGTCACTGATGATGCTGGCGATGCTGCTGCTGCTGTTGATGCTGATGATGCTGATAAAGCTGATGATGCTGATGAAGATGACGACGCGGATGTATAGTATGATGATGATGGCGGTGGTGGTGAGCATGGTCGTGGTGATAATGAGGAGGAGGATACGGAGGAGCATGAGGAGCAGGAGGAGGAGGAGGAGGAGGACGCTGCAGCAGGAGGAAGAGGACGACCGTCTCATGTGACACAGTTCGATTTCACCATTCGGGTAGATCTCATGGGTCTCGTTTGGATCGTCTTGGGGGTGTTTTGACCTCCTGTGGGGCAGTCTTGGGGCTCTCTTGGGCCGCCGTGGGGCTCTCTTACGCCGTCTTTGGGCTCTCTTAGGCCGCTTTGGGGCTTTCTTTGCCGTGTGGTTGGCGTCTGGGGACCGTCGTGGGGCCGCCTGGGCGCCGTCTTCGGCCGTCGATGGGCCTTCGAAAGCCGCCTTGAGTCCCACAGGAGGCCCTCTTGGGGCGCCTTGGGGCCGTCTTGGATGCCTCTTGGGCCACCGTGGAGTCCTCTCGGGCCATCCTTGGAGCCGCTTGGGCTGTCTTGGGGCCACCGTGGAGGCTTCCAGGGCCGTCCTGAGCTGGTGGCGGCCCGAAAAGGCGAGAGTGCCAAAGCCATGCAAACACCCAAGAGGACGTCACCGATCTTGGCTTCTTCGGCCCCTGCTCGGCATCCTCTTGTGGCACGTGTGGCCACACTCTTGGAGGCACCTTGAGCCGTCTCGAAGGCATGGGAATGCGGGAGTTCCACTGTCCTTCGAGCGGGTGCGCAGGGACTGTGGGTTCAGGCATTTAGCTGCCATCCGGGAAGTGCATCATCCTCGAGCGGGCACGTGTGCAATGGTGGTTTAGGCATCAGCTGCCATGCTGGAAGTGCGCCATGTTTCGAGCGGGTGCGAGGGAAGTGGCCTCGAAAAGAAGGGGCGATGCGTGTGGCTGCTGTCTGCGAGCAGAGGGAGGGGCGGTGTTCTATTCCAGAAGTTGACATGTCTCCACACTTCAGCGAGCCAGGGGGCACGGTGGCGGATAGGAGAGAGCATGGAGGAGGAGGAGGAGGAGGAGGAGGAGGAGGAGGAGGAGGAGGAGGAGGACCAGTGTGCACCCAAGCCGCATCAACAAGGTTGCAGTATCCCCTCCCTTCACGTCCCTTCTTCATAGGTCCCTACAACAATTGATGCTTACTGCGGGAGGTGCCCCGTTGGAGGACAACCGTTGGAGAATGTTCAATTGTGCCAGAACGTCCATCGTTTCTGGCACTTCAACGCCGTGAATCAATGGTACTGTCGCGTCCCAGCGATCCTGAAACGTGCCAGAACAAAATTCCTGGCCTTCATCACCGTGAATCAAACTGATTGTGGCGCCCTGGCAATCCTAGATCGCCTTGGACTGCCATTCCTGTGACGTCAACCAGTATATTCCTCTGAAGCTGTTGTGATTGTTGTAAGAACGCATGAGCGCGACGTTCAGGCGAGAGCCACATTTGAAAAGGAGCGGCCCTCCTTCCGTGAAACTCTCGAGCTGCTTTAAAATGAATGTGCGCGACGCCTAGGGGAGAGCTACATTTTTGAAAAGGGGCCGGCCTCCATCTGTGAAGCCGGTGCACGATTTCACGACGAATGCCCGTGGCGCTGAGGAGAGAGCCACATTCAAAACAAACAGCCCTACACCCGTGAAACTCTTGTACGCTTTTACAACACATTGAGCGCGGGGCTAAGGCGAGAGCCACATTTTGAAAACCACCCGCCCTTTGTCCGTGATGGTTCTGCAGTTTTAGCACGAATGCGGGCGGCGCTAAGGCGAGAGCCGCAGTCTCAAAACCACCCGCCTTGCCTCCGTGAAACGGCTGCAAAGTTTTGAGTCGATTGTGAGAATGGCGCTAAGGCGAGAGCCACATTTTGAAGACCACCCGCCTTCAGCCGTCAAACGATAGCAAACAGGCGTCGCTTCAGGAACAACAGTATTGAGGCCGTGTCGGACGAAACGCCTGGTCCGTCCTACGGACACACCCTGGGGTGCGACAGGGAGGACTTTTAAGGAGAAGGGATGGATGATCATCAGGAAAAGGACCAGTGTCAACCCACGTTTCATCAAGGCTGTTGCAACAAATCAGCACTCCTCCCTATAAGGATTTATGTCCACTGCGGGAAGAGCCCCGTGTGAACACCATTCCTAGGACTTCAACGGCGCGAATCAAAGTTACTCTTGCGACCCGACGGTCCTAAATCTTGCAAGCACGACTCTTGGGACGCCAACGCCGCGAATGAATTTGATTGTCGCGTCTTGACACTGCAAAAACCTGTCAAAACACCGCTTCTGGGACGTCAACCATAAGATTACTCGAGACTGTGATGCAAAATTTCCAGTGCGCTGCGCTTAGATGCGAGCCACATGTTGAAAACCACCTGCCCTCCACCCGTGAAGTGGTTGCACAATTTTGAGACGAATGTGCGCGGCGCGAGGAGAGAGCCACATTTTGAAAACCACGCGCCCTCCATCCGTGACGCCCCTGCGAACTTTTCAGACGAATGTGCTCGGCCCTAACGTGAGAGCCACGTTGTTGGTTTCACCTCCCGTCCTCCAATGTCGGAAGTATTGCACATCGTTGCAGCTTCCAGAACGTGAGTGGTGAGGAAGTCTCAGGCGAAAAGCTTGACCCGCCCCACCGTCCCGTTCGGGGTGCGATTGGGAGGAGTTCTTTATATGGAAAAAGGATGGAAGAGGGGGGACGCAGCGGCCAGCCGCTCTCGCGCCTAGCTCCTGGTTTTTCCGCTCTGGCCGCGTCCGCTGCCCTGCGGCCTGCTGTCCAAGTGCTAACAGGGCCCCAGTCTTCGCGCGCTGCCGCGGTCCAGTCGCAGGGGAAGGCGACGACCCGTCATCGTGAAGCAGTCGGGCCTTGAGGTCAGGAGGAGAAGGTATTGATACCCTTTCCCCTGTCTCGTGTTCGCCTTGTTTGGACCTCCTAGGAAGCCGTCGTCAGAACGCGCCCCAGGAAAGGTCCAGCCAGTGGCGGGATCGGTACCTTTCTGTTCCCTCATGGGGGAAACGGGCCCGGAGGTTTTCCCCGTTTTCGGTTCCCTTGGGCCACCCCAGGGCGGTCTGTCCAAGCACCGCTCAGGATGAAGAGCTCGCCCAGGGTGAAAGCCCCCAGGTCCGGGAACCCGTTGCCTTCGGGACCCGTTCTTCTTTCATGGCAAGCTCGTCGTGCCTCTTCTCGTCGCCGGCCAACCCCATCGTGGCGCAGAGGTGCCGCGCAGGGCGCTGAAGTTCACGATGAACGGCGCCTTCAAGGCCCAGCTCTCGGCCACGTTCCCGCTGCCTCGCAGCCGCGCGGCCGACGTAGCCCTGGCCGCCTGCGCCGGCGCCGCGGCTGGGGGCTCCGAGACTCTCGTCCACACGCCGTTCGAGGCGGGCCCCCGCCGCACAAATGCAGCGACGAAGCGCCCCGACCTGCCTATAGGCCCACCAGAGAATGCCCAGAGGGTAACTTGGAGCACTTCTGGCCGAGTCAGATTTATATTAACTAAGTCATCTTTTTGGGGATTTTCTCAGAAAGTTCGTTTTGCTTTTAGGGCATCACGAAGATTCAGCCCCGCGCAGGGGGGGTAGGGGGAGGGGGGAAGGCTTCTGAGACGTACCACCCTGCTTCTCAGAAGGCGTGGGCCTCGTCTATAGATGTAAGGCCGGCGCCTTGTAAGAAGCAGCCCCCTTCAAGAAGCCTTCCCCCTTCCCCCTACCTCCCTTTGCGCGCCGCCGAAAGATCGAGGAAACGAGACGCGGATCCAGGCTCGTGGATTAGCGACGGGCCCCGCTTCTACACGAAAGAGACGCGCTCCGGCGCCAGATCAGCCAGTATTGGCTTGATGCATGTTTCTGGGGCGCCCGCCCCGATCCGTGGCGCCAGATCCATGGATGCGTAGTCCATGTCAGCGCGTGGCCGAGAAGACCGGCGGGTCCCTGGGGGCCAAGCAAAATTCGGACACCCGCGGGCCCCAGGAGAATGTCGAGGCGTGCGAGTGTTTGTGTGTGTGTGTGTTTGTGCGTGTGTGTGTGTGTGCGCGTGTGTGTGTGTGTGCGTGTGTGTGTGCGCGCGTGTGTGTGCGTGTGTGTGTGATTGTGTGCGTGTGTGTGTGTGTGTGTGCGTGTGTGTGTGTGTGTAGGTGTGTGTGTGTGTGTGTGAAAGTGCGCGCGCTCGCTGGTGCTCGTGCTTGTGTCAGTGCGTGTTTCGTTGTGCCTGTCATCATGCTCGTGTGCTGATTTCTTGTGGGTCTGCGTTCCGCTACCGGTTGCACAGTCCAGTCTCCAAGCGGGCTCCCTGGCCAGAGATTGTTTTTTCTTCGTTGAGCCCGTAACGTCCGTCACAGGGGGGTCGAACCCCCCCCTTGTAACGACGGTAACGCTCGTGCGGGGGGGAGGGCGGCCGGCCCTTGCAAAGCCACAGCGGCGTGCTCGCAGGCATACTGAGGTGCTGTCAGGCGTCGGAGAGCTTCCAGACGCCTCCAGGGGCGGCCATCGTCGTCACCGTCACCGTCGTCGTCGTCGTCGTCGTCGTCGTCGTCACCGTTGCCGTCGTACTCGTCGCCGTCGTCGTCGTCGTCGTCGTCGTTGTCGTTATCGTCGTCGTCGTCTTCGTCCCCGTCCTCGTCGTCGTCGTTGTCGTCGTCGTCGCTATCTTCGCAGTCGTCGTCGTGTTCGACTGCCTCGAAGCGCCTGTAGACTCCTCCAGGGGCCTCCAGAGGCCTGCGGTGGTCTTCAGGGACGGCCGTCGTCGTCATCCTCGTCCTCGTCGTCGCCGTCGCCGTCGTCCTCGTCCTCGTCCTCGTCCTCGTCGTCTTCGTCGATCGTCCTCGTCGTGGTCGTCGTCTCCGAAGGTATTGAAGGGCCTGCAGACGGCTCCAGAGGCCTCCAGAGACTTCCTGACTTCTTGAGACCTTCAGAGGCGGTCGTCGTTGTCGTCGTGGTCCTTGCCCTCGTCGTCGTCGTCCTCGTCGTCGTCGTCGTCCTCGTCCTCCTCCTGGTCGTCGTCGTCGTCGTCGTCGTCTCTTGTAGTCGTCGTCGCCGTCGTCGTCGTCGTCGTCGTGGACGTGGTCGTGGACTTCGTCGTCATCGTTCTCATCGTCATCTCCTTCCTTGTCGTCGTCGTCGTTTGTCCTCGTCGTCGTCCTCGTCGTCGTCGTCATCGTCGTCGGTCGTCATCGTCCTTGTCGTCACCGAGGGACTCGAAGGGCCACCAGAAGCTTCGAGATGCCTCATGAGACCTCCTGAGGCCTCTGAAGACCTTCGGTGCCGGCCGTCGTCGTCCTCGTCTTCGTCCTCGTCCTCGGCGTGGTCCTCGTTGTGTTCGTTCTTCCTCGTCGTTGTTGTCGTCGTCAACGTCGTCGTCCACGTCCTCGTCCTCGTCGTCGTCCTCGTCTTTGGCCTCGTTCTCCTCGTCTTCGTCGACGTCGTCGGCGTCCTCGTCGTCGTCGTCGACAGCGGCTTCGTCTTCGTCCTCGTCGTCGTCTCTCGTCCCCGTCGTCGTCGTCGTTGTCGTCGACGTCGGTGTCGTCGTCGTCCTGGTCTTCGTCGTCATCGTCCTTGTCGCCGTCTCCGTCCCTGTCGTCGTCATTGTTTGTCGTGGTCATTGTTCGTCGTCGTCATCCTCGTCGTCGTCGTCGTCGGTCGTCCTCGTCGTCGTCGTGGTCGTGGTCGTCGTCGTCGTCCTTGTCGTCTCCGAGGGCCTCGGAGGGCCTGCAGATGGCTCCAGGGGCCTCCAGAGATTTTCTGAGACCTCCTGAGACTTCCAGAGGCCTTCAGTGGCGGCCGTTGTCCTCGTCCTCGTCGTCGTCCTCGTTGTCGTCGTCGTCGTCGGCGGCGTCCTTGTCGTCTTCATCGTCGTCGTCGCCGTCGTTGTCGTCGGCCTCGTCGTCATCGTCGTCGTTGTCGTCGGCCTTGTCCTCGTCGTCGCCGTCGTCGCCGCCGTCGTCGTCCTCGTCCTCGTCCTCGTCCTCGTCCTCGTCCTAGTCGTCGTCGTCGTCGTTGTTCGTCGTTGCTCGTCTTCGTCGTAGTCTTTCTCGTCGTCGTCGATTCCGAGGGCGTCGAAGGGCCTCCAGACGTAGCCAGCGGCTTTTGCAGACGACCTCCTCAAGCCTCCAGAAGCCACCCGAGACCTTCAGCGGCGTCTGTCGTCGTCGGCGTCGTCATCTTCGTCCTCGTCCTCCTCGTCGTCCTCGTCGTCGTCCCCGTCCTCGTCCTCGTCCTCATCCTCGTTGTCGTCGTTCGTCATCGTCATCATCGTCCTCGTCCTCGTCCGCGTCGTCGTCGCCGTCGTCGTCGTCGTCGTCGTCCCCGTCCCCGTCCTCGTCCTCGTCCCCGTTCTCGTCCTTGTCCTCGTCTTCGTCCTCGTCGTTGTCGTGGTCCTCGTGGTCGGTCGTCGTCGTCCTCGCCCTGTCATTGTCATCGTTCTCGTCGTCTCCGTGGGCATCGAAGGGCATGCAGACGGCTCCAGTGGTCTCCTGAGGCTTCTTGAGGCCTCCAGAAACTTTCGGGGATCCTTTTAGAGGAGGCTGTCTTTGTCCTCGTCATCGTCCTCGTCATCATCCTCCTTGTCCATGTCCTCGTTCTCGTCGTCGTCGTCGTCGTCGTCGTCGTCGTCCCGCGCCCTGGCCGCCCCCCCACGGGGCCCGACCACGTTACCATCACGTCCCACAGGGGCCCGACTCCCTCCCCATTATGGACTTCACGGGGGGGAATTAACAACACTCTCCTGGAGGGTGTGCCAGAACCCGCCGATGCTGAAACATGTGTGTATTGCCTACATGTTTCTGGTTTTCCAATGGCCCAGTGAACGCTTGCCAGTCAGCATGATGCCTTCATGAAGTTGAGTGGCCTCTCCGGGTGTCTCGCTGCTCTCCTGCCGAGCCCGTCGCAGCTAGACAGCCGCATTGCAGGCCGAGGTACTAGAGTGGCATCCGACAAAACAAATGCGTGCCCGTGTGTATACGCACTTGTGTCCCGTGCCCGCTCTGGCCGCAATCGTCGCTTTGCCTGTCCTGGGCGGCTCCAGCCCCCAGAAGTTCCTCTCCTGCTGGACGGCTGCTCTCGCCGGGCCAGGCTGAGCGCGTGAATTGATATCCGTAGCCTGTGGGTGCACAAGTACACGCATGGCTGTTTTGGGCCCTCTGCAGGGCCTCGGTTGGTTCCCGCTCAACGTGACTTACGATGCCTATTGTCTTCGACTGGAGAGCGAAGCAAACCCATGTTACCAAGTGCTGATAATAAACAAGGGTATGTGCGCGCCAGCTTCGAGGAGAATTCTACATCGATGCTCCGTGAAGAACAACGTTGGTCCTAAAGTGCTAGTGCCGTGCACCCCCACCGCGCTGCAAGCGCAGTGGCGGACGAATGATCCGAGACGGGCGCAGAAAGGAAGGGACCCCCTCCCTGTGCCTCGGAGCCTGCTTCCTCGCCGAGCCCTCAGAACTCCCCTGGGATCCACAGAACACTGCTGGAGCTATACCGGGCGCCTCGGGAGCCATGAGCGAACGACAAACGAACCGCCGCAGCTGCTGGGCCGAGGGAGTCGCCCCCGGCGCCCTGCTACGGCCGACCCCGAAGCCCCCAGCGGTGATGGCTCCCGCGCGCGGCGCCGGCGCAGGGCCTCCCTGGCGCGCGGGGCGCGCCAGGGGCGGCGCCAGAAACGCCGCCAGGGGGGTCCAGCGCCGATCCGAGTTGTTTTGTTTGTGTCATGCTTCGTTCCCTTCGTGGAAGGCCATCGTCGTCCGTGGGGGGCGACTGGTGGACGGCTGGCGCGGGCCGTGTGCCGCTGCCTGCCGCCGCTAATCGGCTCTGGGCCGCCAGCCGCCAGCTGCCGCTCTCTTCGGCGCTGGTCTTCGCCCGCACCCTGGCCGCGACGGGCTCCCGCAAGACGAACGTAATCCCGCGCCGCTCGGAGATTCGGCAGCAAGCCATGGGAGCTTCGTGTACCCTCGCAATCCGTCTTTGGCGTCGAGTCGCGTCTATTATCGTTTGGGACTCGATGAGATAGCGCCGATTTGGCGTCGGCTAGCGCCGATTTAGCGTCGATTTAGCGTCGATTAGCGTCGATTCGCAGGAGCCGACAAGATGGTATGGGAGGCTCCCATGGAGCCTGTATCTTTGGATTCGGACAAGTTTACTTGCATGGACGGGGGGAGGGCCTGAGCCTGAAGCAAGCCGAAAACACCCTGACGTGCGGAAATCACGCAAGCCGCAAGGCACTTGCACGCTCGTGTTCGATTGAAGAGGGGCGGGGTGGGGGGGGAGGGGCGAACGCCATGCAAGTAGAAACAAATGCTCCTACGAGTTGCCACCAAGCACGCCGCTCGGAGGTGGTCAAGATCCGGGTGCAGGCCGGCGGCGGCAGCGGCAGCGTGCCCAGCACCGCCCTGGGCATCGTGCGCGCCGAGGGCGTGCGGGGCTTGTACGCCGGCCTGGGAGCCTACGCGCTGCGCCAGGCTCCCGCCCTTTCGGGGGGGGGGAGGAGGAGGAGGAGGAGGAGGAGGAGGAGGAGGAGGAGGAGGAGGAGGAGGAGGAGGAGAGCCGTCTGTCTCTTCGGGGGCGGGCCAGGGGGGGGTACTGTGCGGGGGGGGGATCGAGGGCTGTGGCAAAGTGGGCCCAAAGGGGCCCCAACGGGCTCCTGGATTGCAACCGCGGGCCGAAAGCTGCAGGCGGGGATTTATCCATAGCCTCCGCAGGATCGATCTTCGCAGACATCCACAGGCGGTGGATGTAGATAGATTCGGGCCCGGGGATGTCAAAAATTATCACACCGAAGAAAGACCCAATCATAATCATTTTAGGGCTATAGGGCTATGGGGCTATAGGGCTATAGGACCATAGGGCTATCGGTCTACAGGGCTATAGGGCTATAGGGCTATAGGCATATTGAGCTATAGGGCTACAGGACTATAGGGCTATAAGGCAATAGGGCGATTTTGCTCTAGGGCTATAGGTCTATGGGTCTATTAGGTCTATCGGGCTATTGGGCTATGGGGCTATAGGGCTATAAAGCTATTGGGCTATAGGGCTATAGGGCTATTGGGCTATAGGGCTATAGGGCTCTATAGGGCTATAGGGGCACCCGGGCACTCCCGGGCACCTCCGGGCACGCCCGGGCACCTCCGGGCACCTCCGGGCACCCCTGGGCACCCGGGCAACCCCGGGCACCTGGGCACCTGGGCACTTGGCACTTGGGCACCCAGGCGCCCAGTCTGGCCACCGAAATCGGCGACAAACCTCACCTAACCATATGAATCCGCTAGGACCCCTGCAGAGGCAAGCTCTGATTGGGGAATTGTTATCCACTGCCCGCTGGTTCACCAGGACGTCGGTTCCCAGGCGGTGGATATGGAGAAGTCAATGCCTCGTGCAGGAGGTGTACGAAGGGCGCACGCTTTTTGATCACCCGCTCGAGCTTTTCTCTCCTCCCCGGTCTCCCGTTTTTCCCTCTCCGCCACCCTTCTCCTCTTCCTCCTCCTCCTGCTCCTCCTCCTCCTCCTGCTCCCCCTTCTCATCTTTCTCCTCCTCCTGCTCCTCGTACGCAGGTAAGAAGTAGAGTTGTGCCCTCCCTCTCCCCTGGACCGTAGTCCTCTGCCGTCCATCTTGCTCCCTGTCCCCTCCTCCCTCTCGTTTTTTTGGGCGGGGCGGCAAAGAGGGGGGGATGACGGCTAGGGGGGGTGGGTATCATGGCCATGGCTATGTTATTTTCCAGATTTGATGGCGCCTCTGCCTATTTCAATACGCCCCTGAATCCCCCCTGGGCCACGCACATGCCGCTGGCCATGATTTGCGCCTCCCCCTCTTGCACGCACCCCTCTTGGATGCCCCCGAGTTTTGTCATCTCCATCTACGGCAGGTTCGCGTCGAAATGCGGCGGTGGCGCCAGGGTGCGGGCGCTTAAAGTGGAAGGCCAGCAGCGGCCCGAACCAGGCCGACTGTTGACGATGTCCGCGTCGCTCAGGTTGAACGATCTGCGTGCTCATCGGTCGTTGAACGTAGGTATTTTGGATTTCCATATTCCACTTCATGCGCCCTTCTACTTCAATGATGCGTGGTTTCACCTTTTCCGTCCGCCTTCGGAGGCGGACCGAACCCAATATTTTTTCAGCGCTTTCCTACCTCATGTTTCTGCCTACTTCTTCCGACCGGTGGGTAGTTTTAGAAACCAACTTCTGCATCAACACGACAGGAGCCACCCGTAGTCTGGTCCTCCTGCCTGCGGCCTGCACCGCGACAGATGGTCTGGAACGGCGGCTTCTTCGGGATGCTTGGTCTGGGCAATACTATCCTTGTCGGCAGGCGCCTTTCCGTTTGTCTACCCCCAGAGGGGGCACAATGAGAAGGAGTAGGGATTGGAGGAGAGAAGTTCTTCCTCCTCCTCCTCCTCCTCCTCTCCCCCCCGTCCTTTGTTTTTTATTTTTTTTTTTTTTTTTTATTTTTCCTTCCTTTTTTGTTTTTATTTTTTTTTTTTTTTTCCTTTTCCCTTCCTCCTCCTCCTCCTTTCCTCCCTTCTCCTCCTCCTCTCCACTCGTCCTCCTCCTCCTTTCCTCCTCCTCTCCTCCTACTCATCCTCCCTCCGCTCCCTTTCCTCCTCCTCCTACTCTCCTTTTCCTCCTCTCGCTGGGTGAGACCGCAGCAAAACGATGATGGGGCAGCACGAGCCGAAGTCTTGCTCCAGGGTATAGTTTTCTTTTCTGGCGCACGGCTGCGCCCTCAGGGACACGACGGTCAAGCAGGCCGAGCACATCCGCCAGCAGCCTCTGAAGGATTGCGTCTCATCGTGGTGGGCTAGAGTTCAGAATGTCTTGCAGCGAATCCTGAGGCATCGCAGGCGGCAGAACGGCGATGTTCAACTCTACCAGCTGGCGGCCGCGGGGGCGCGTTTGGCAGACCAACCCCTAGATGGAGCTGGCGAAGCGTTCGCAGCGACTCAGGTTAGTTGGGGGCGATTATTGAGCTCGTTGCGCCAGCTGATCGACCTGGACATCGTGCAGTTGGCTAGCTTGGAGGAGCAGGCCTTTCGAGCCTCCAGGAGAGCTCGCAACAGAGCAGCGGCCTCTTTGCTGCGAGAGTTCCAACAATGGTTTTCACCCTTGGACTCGCTAGGCATGGTGCACCGCGGCATCAAAGATCCTGACCCTGAGCGGGACGAGCTGCGCACTGTCTCAGCCGAGGGAGTTATGGTGCATCCCAAGGACATAGTGGACCGCAAGGTCGACACCTACCACTCCAAGTGGAAGTCTCAGGTGGCCAGTCGAGGGGGCATCTTGCGCACGTGTGCCTCGGTGCGCGAGCGTGCAGAGATCTAGCAGTTGACTCCTCTCACGGTGGCTGACGTGAGAGAGACTTTATCTCGCACGAAGCCACGAGCAGGGCTCGGAGTGGATCGCTTGCCCCCAGGAGACTTTCAACGACTTCCGGATGAAGGGATACAGGCATTCTGTAATCTATTACTTTTCATTGAAGAGGGATTGTCTTGGCCATGGCAAACCCTCTGCGTCATCGGCAAGTAGCTGGGGGAACAATCTGGCGGCGACCGCGTCATGGGATTGATCGCGACGCTGGCGCGAGGTGGGTCCACGGCGCGGGGGGCCGAGATGAAGCAGTGGTGAATCGAGCAGACTGAGGTGGGCCACTGGGACGCGGCCATCGCAGGGAACAGCGCCTTGCGGGAGGCCTTCGTGCGAGCGCTGGAGGATGGGGCGCGCGCGAAGCTCCAGATCCCCGGCGGCCACGCGCTCTGGGACATCGCGTCCTTCTACGACTCCATTGAGTTTGGGCCGCTGGCCCGGTGCGCCTTGGACAAAGGTTCCCCGCCTGTGAATCTGTTTCTGGAACTCCAGTTATGTCTGGCACCTCGGATGCTGGAACAAGTCAGTTGCTTTTCGGAACCGTTTGAAGTGACGCGCTCAGTAGTGCAAGGTCTGCGAAATGGGATAATATTCGCACCGTGCATCGCAGCTGACGTTTGTCGACGCCTCACTTCATCTTTCAGCGCGCTACGTGAGCGGATCTGGATGGATGACCTATCCCAGCGAGTGTCGGGGTCACGTGCGCACGTGCGGCCCGCCCTCATCCGCGGTGGGATCATGGCGGCGAAGTTCCCCGAGCGTCTGCATCTTGGTTTGGCGGAGAAAAGTGCCATGACATGTTCTCATCACGCAGGCCGTGGGAGATCGACGGTTCGACAGCGGCAGTTGAAGTCAGGGCAGTCTCATGCTAGGCTTCGGCGTTTCGCCCAGGCCGCCCGCCGATGGCAGGCGGGGGGCAAGCTCCAGAGAGCAGGGCCGCGAGCGGCGGCCATCAACGGGCATCGCGTGCGCGGGCAGTTCGGCTCCATGAGGTTGGCTCAGCGAAGGCGACGGGGAGCGGCAGCAGGGCCAGTCTCCGCCAAATGCGGGCGGTGTCTCACCGCATTTATACCACTTCGACTTCCTGGATGTGATCCAGGGCGCCAAGTGCCGTGGCAGTGTGTTTCGCAATGGTTGGCAGTCCGGTTATCTGGAGTCAGACTCAGACGGCCAATCGCGCTGGCGCGGCCTAAGGCGGCGGCTCACTTTCGCGCTCTTCCTGCGGGGCAGCGGGCGCGCCATATCAGAGGGCAGATGGCCGCGGTGATCTCGTGCTTGCACAGCGCGGGTTGGGCGCCCAAAACCCTCGGATTCGGGCGCGCCGAATGGCGGATCTTCTAAAGTCAACGCCTGGCTTTTTGATAGCGAGTGTTTCGAGGCGCAGGATCAGGCAGTCCCACTCTTGGACGAGTTGCAGCGCACATGCTAAGGCGCAGCAGCGGCAGGAGGCAGCCGCGCTTTTCTGCGGCGCCAGACTGGAGCAAGGCGCCGGCGCGTCATCGTTGCGCCTCATGGTCACCGACCTTCTGCAGGCGCGGAAGGGCAAACAACTCTCGGAGCTGATGGTCACGATTGCCACTGGAGGATTCTGGCCGAAGGCCCGCAGTCGCGACTCTAACCTTCGAGCTGGCGACATCTGCAATCGTTGCGGCACCGACAGGGGCGCCCCCCTGCACAGGTGCTGGACGTGTTCAAAAAATCATGGATCGAGGGCCTTCAGTGAGTCTGACGACCTCCTCCCGCAGGCAGCCGCTGAGTCTGGGGCCTTCCCGTGTTTCTGGATGAGAGGGTTCATTCCTTCGGCGTGGGCCTCCATTCAGCCCCCTCCCTCGGTCGAGCAGATTTCTGGCAGCTGCCTTAGGGGCGACGGTCTCAGGGCTGGCTGTCTGGGCGCAGGGACCTCGGCGAAGCCTTTAGTTGCCTTCGGAGGCGCCTCGGAGGGCCGCGGCGCCCGCGACCCTCGTCGGAGGCGCGTGGGTATAGGAGTTGCCGCGTTAACTTGTTGCAATCCTCATGTTTTGGGGCCCCGCCCTCCTCCTCCTCCGTCCACTCCTCCCCCGTCCTCCTCCCGTTTCTTCCGCTCCTCCAGAAGGGGCCGGCGGGTGGGGCAGGGGGTTGAAGCGGGGTGAGAGGGGGGCGCGCGGTTGGAGGGGGAGGGG